TGACTCCATCATAAGGGTATGCAAATATTGCTGGGCATTTTGAATTCAGTAAGACTATTCATATAGTTCACAATGGAAACATTATCAAGTCAACTGACCTCTCAATATATGTACTAATAACCTACACAGCAATGGGTTCAAAATAGTTATATATCGTAAGCTAACATTTATGGAGACTACCTGAAATTCAATTTCTGCTTGTTACATAGCGTCAAGAAAGTGATAGTCTGCTACCTAAATCATCTGTGACCCAAATACATAGAAACACCCTTAAGGTACCACCTACTTTGCAAGCATACTATCAGCTTCTAAGAGTAGTAGTAGAAGTGTCAAGAACAGCAGTCTGCCACGGTCTGTCGATCATATGACATACATCTAAAAAGAACCAAATAATCTACGATCCAAACAACACCAGGGTTGCAGTGAGTGCAGTTCAATCATTCAGAAATATTTATCCCAACCAATACCCTCGGAAGAAAAAATACAAAGAACTATGTGTATTCCATTCCATGCAGGAAATAAAAATGAGAGATCACTCGATCCCTTAAATGTAATTATGGAAGAACATAAAAATGCTGGTGTCCAAAGTAAAGCATTAAAAGCAGGCTTGTCTGATCATATATAGATGGAAAATTTAGATATCAACACCTGTGGAATTAAGTCAAGAAAACAGAAAGAAAACAACACTTGACGATAAGACGGCTGAAAGAAATGGCCCATGTTAGGTATTGAAAACCTACTCAGTAGGCCCAGCATAGAAATGAATACCATCTAGGAGCCTTAAAAAGAATTCCACTCATACAGTCCCACCATTTGAGTACACACAGTAGATTTAAGGTTCTAGAACTTCAATACCAGATTTAGCTAGTTTTGAATACAATCTGTACTTGTTAATACGGAAAGAAGACGTACTCTGGCATAGTATAAGGAATAGAAAAGCGACACAAAGGTGAATACGACTGTTGAGTATTAATTGATCTGAAATATGTGTTAAGCAAGGAAAACGTAAGTAGAATATTTTATCTGGAGCAAATTAAATGGTTTATTTCGAAATTTCATGTTACCGACTATAAATTCGGACATCAGACGGAGAGTACAACAGCGAAAAATTGTGAATACAACAAATAACCTGGTCCAAATAGCAAAATATATAATAAAACAACGGTTTTACCGAGAGAACTAATATTTTATAAAAGAAATACAACAACAAAAATTGCTACAGTTTACATCGAAAGGTGCAATATTTACATTTAAAATTTTGATGCCCAATGCAAATGTTAAAATTTGACTATGACATCGTTTTAATTTTTATCCTCATGATTTTAATTATTAGATATTCTGCTAGCAGAAATTTTGTGGGGAAAAGAAATATGTCGTTTTATCTAGATATTAAATCATTACACTAACCTACCAGTTAACAAATGCTTAAATCTTTTAACAAAATATTTAATAAAATAAAAGAATAGCTATTCCCTATAAACTGTTATTTTACTTTCATTAACAATTTTTATAGAAAGAAATCTAGTCTACCATTAGGATCGCTACATAGTTATATATTAACATATCTTTACTTAGGAATTCTAAAAACTGGTCCTTTTTAAATATTTTACATAAAAAATCGACATATTTAAAATATATCGGTGAGGCTTTATTAATATATTCACTCTAAACAATACTAACTGATCTTGTAAATAAACTAAACAATATTGACCATACAGTTAAATTTATTCATGAAACATATAAACATTATCTTTACCGTTTCTTGATATTAAACTGCACTGACAATGATCTTTTCCAGCGGCTTTTACCGCTAAGAAAAAAGTGAAAGTGACAAAATAATAAATTGAGATGAAACATGGTTGAGACTAATGAAAGAGTTTGTATTTCCTGTGATGTACAAGGTCCGATCGTTTGTATCGTATATCAATTATAGGAGACTGGGAGTTCGTTCTGTTATAACACAAGGTATTAGTCGAAATAGACACGTGGAAGAAAATCAACACGTATATGTAGTCGAGTGAGATAGATCCGTGGGAAAAATATTCTACGAATTATCTCATTGTATTAGCTGCGAATTATGTTACGCTTGTAGAGTAGATGGTATCCTGAAGTGCGTTTCTGATACTGTTAATCTCTGGTTAAAAATGATTCGACGGCATTACTGATGATGAAAACACCTTGGTGTGGCCTGGTGTTGGCTTTATAATCAGCGAATGGCTTAGAAACGGCAGCTACGAAAACCGTGTGTGTCTTTTTCTGATTGGTAAGAAAATATATTTTATGATCCTGGAATTTTGAGACTGTATTGAGACGCTTGGAAAATAACTATATAGATATGAACCGACACACATAGATAGATAGATAGATAGATATGAAGAAAAGATAGAAAGATAGACAGATATGAACAGGCATAGACATATAGATTGATAGATATGAACAGAGATAGATAGATATGAACAGACACAAAGGCAAAATGATATTAACAGACATAGATAGATAATAGGTAGGTATGGACACACACACACACACATACATACATATATATATATATATATATATAGTTATGAAAAACTTGGTAATCCGTATGGGTAGTCCCAAGGAGGATGAAATCCTGAGAGCTCAATGTAAATCCAGAGCTAATATTTTAAAGTGGTCTGTAAAATATATATATATATATATATATAGAGAGAGAGAGAGAGAGATGAACAGATTTAGAATTAGATAGATAAATATGAACAGATTTTGATAGAGATAGATAGATAGATATGAACAGATTTAGATAGATAGATGTGAACAGATATAGATAAATAGATATGAATAGACATAAATAGATATATAGTTATGCAGTTAGAAAGAAAAATCTCGAAAGCAAGATAAAAGAGAGATTGAAGCCTTAATACAATCACATAGAAGAAACATGAATTATTTGTAATGGCGATTACAAATTCTGTGCTCTTTTAATTTTTCCTGTAGTATGTATTTATTCTTCATTAAATAGTTACATCCAAAGTTATAGCTTTTCAAGCTTTATTGATGATCATTTTTGTAAAAAAGAAAAATACATCACGAAAATTTTACATAATGCAAACTTATCGTAATGTGTGAGTTGTAGGTGTGAGTACAATATTTTGCTTTTCTTTAAGGCATAAGCTACCAGGAATCCCTTCAATGAGTTTATCGGACTCTTTTTCAATCAATCCAAGAGCTCCAACTACAAGTGGAATTATTGATTTCCTCATGTACCAGATTTTGGAGATTTCTTCTTCAAGATCCTTGATAGTTTTTTGCAGAACTTCAATAATGCTTTACAATCTGCCGATAAGAAAACACATTCTGGTCTTATTATTATTATTGTAATTATAATTATTACCAATTAGTAAAACAGTGTGCTGCTACGTGACTAATCAACTACCCATGTGTGTTATGTATCATTCTGCTATGGCAAACTGCAGGTGGAAATTAATAATTAATTAGGTTATGTTTCAATGGGTTCAATTTATACTTTATTCATGCTATAAATATTAAAATATTCAAATTTTATTACGCATTGCTACCTCCGATATGTATTTTTATTAACCTTTATTTCTCTTATTTAACAAATCGTTGTCCATTCTTTGGAATATGATCATTTTTTCAGTTAAGAACAGATTGCATCTATCTTCCATTTTATTTCCTGGGCCATCTTGCCATTTTCTAATCAGTTCAAGAAAAATGTAGAGAGAGTGGTGTTATCATAATTTTTATGGTTTAAGCTAATGCGAAATATGTGAGACGCAACTTGTGCATAACACAAAAATTGATATTACAAAGAATGAACAAAAACTTGTTAAATAAGAGGGGCAATCTAACGGCACAGGAAAAATTCGTAATAAAAAATTTGTATATTTAAATGTTTATAGCACGTGTAGTTTATAAACTGGACCAATCGAAATGTACCTTAATGATTAGTTTCGATCTGGCGATTACCATAACGACATAAAACTCTGCAGAGTGGAGGAGGCATGTAACAATAAAAGCTATTTTTCATTTATAAATAATAAGCACTTTCTTTTCACATCAGCCACACACACGCAGACAAAACACACACACAAACGCACACACACACACACACACACACACATATATATATATATATATATATATATATATATATATAGATAGATAGATAGATAGATAGATACTGATAATATTAGTGGTAAATATACATATACATATGCAATCATATATCTAAAATATATATATACATACATACATACATACACATACATATATATTTGTATAAAAAATAATTCCAAGAGGATAGAATCCAAGTAGAACTCAATGTCCAGGACAGAGTAAGAATATAATAAAAAGGCTTAAACATTTTTATTATATATATATATATATATATATATATATATATATATATATATAATTGTGTATTTAGGCAACAATCCTTTTTTACAACAACTGACAAGGTACAGCGTTTAAGGTTTTTATTTAATATTTCTTGCGTACTTAAAATTTTCTTCTTTTCTGAATGTAAATTATGTCGAAATTGTAGAACTGTTTTGTATGTAGGAGCGCTTTTTAGATACATACTTAAAACAATCCATACATTCAGTTAAAAGTAAAACTAAAATAATCCTTGACAATGGCTAAAATTATAGCCAAAAGCACTATCAATTTATATCAACTCCAGCAGCCTATACATATTTATCTATATATTCATATCTATCTATTGATATAAATCTATCTACAGATAAGAATCTATCGTTATGCATCGATCTATTAATATTTATAGATATCAATCTATCTATATCTATCTATCTATAGATATATTTCTAGCTACAGATATCAATCTATTTGTAGAGCTATCTATGCATATCAATGTATCAATATATAGATACCAATCTGTCTATAGATGTCAGTCTGTCTATCTATAGATAATGTATCTGCAGATATCAGTCTATATATCTATAGATATCAAACTACCTATACATATCACTCTATCTGTCCAGGCGTCAACCTATCTATCTATAGATATCAATCTTTCTATAGATATTACTATATCCATTCATATCTATCTATCTATCTATCTATCTATCTATCTATCTATCTATCTATCTATCTATGTCAGTCTATTCATATCTATCTATCTATCTATGTCAGTCTATTCATATCTATCTATCTATCTATGTCAGTCTATTCATATCTATCTATCTATCTATCTATCTATCTATCTATCTATCTATCTATCTATCTATTTCAAACTATTCATATATCTCTTTTTATTTCAGCCTATTCATATCTATCTCAGGCTATTCATATCTATGTATTTCATTCAATTTATATCTATCTTTCTATTTCATTCTTTTCATATCTATCTCAGTCTATTCTTATCTATTTCACTGTTTTCCTATCTATTTCAGTCTGTTCCTATCTTTCTATTTCTCTTCTATGTATTCCTTTTTCTACCTCTCTATCTACCTTTTCCCCCTTCTCTATCTACCTATCTGTTCCTGTCTCTCCATTTGTCTATCTCTCCCTGTTTCTCTATCTACCTATCTATCCCTGTCTCTACTTATCTCCCCCTGTCTCTATCTATGTACCTATCTGTCACATTCTCTCTCGTTCTCTGTCAATTCCCCTGTCTATATATCTATGTCCCCGTTTCTATCTCCCTATCTTCCCCTGTCTTTTTCTCTCTCTTTCTCTCAATGTATGTACCTATCTATTTTCTCCCTGTTTCTATCTCACTGTCTCATTATCTATCTACCCATATATATATATATATATATCCCTGTTTCTATCTAAGTATCTGTATGTCACTCTTTCTATCTGTCCCTCTTTCTATCTTCCTATCTGTCCCTCTTTCTACTTCTCTAGCTCTCGATGTAGCCCTGTTTCTATTTAACGTCAATATGGCGCAAAAAAAGGAGTATACATAGATGTATAATAGATTTATACATTTTATGAAGATAAGAGAAACAAAGAAAAGTAAATATTGGCAAATTACCAAATGAAAAAGAAGTAAAATGGCACTACAAGAACTACAAGAACCTAAGGTTTGTGAAGGGGTGGATAAGAAAAGCATGTAAAGAAAGAAAGCAAAAGAGAGAAACGGTAGGCAAGAAGGGCAAGAAAATGAGATATAAAAAAAGAAAAAATGCGAAAGTACGTGAAAGCTTTAGGAGTAAAAATAAATGAAAAGTAAACACATGAGAGTTGCGCCTACAAATTCTCAGATGTTAGTTACTCTTTCGTTTATGTCACAAGTACCTACCTAACACATACAGAAAGTTATCATATTGGCCTGTCGCCATTTTTTTTCTAAAAGAACGGCATCAGCATATTGCACCTTGATAAGGATATAAAAATGAAGGGTAAAATATAAAACAGACGCAAATAAGCAAGGAATGTTTTTGTGATCTGTGAATATTTATCTGCATGTGGGTCTGAGTTACTTACCAAGACCACTCATTCTTCTCTCTCCACACACACACACACACACACACACACACACACACACACACACACACATATATATATATATATATATATATATATATATATTTATTTAAAAATATTTAAATTAAAAATATGATTCCAAATCGCGACACAAAAAGTCCCATGTTTCAAAACAATAAGCAAAAAACTTCAATATAATTTTTGGAATAAACGTGTTAAAAATAAGCTCTGTTCCATCCTCAAAAATTTTTTTTTGGAAGGACGTGTTTTATTTTAATTCAATTTATTTAAATAATTATATTGAAGTTTCCGGCCTTGTTTTGAAACATGGGACTTCTTATATCGTGATTTGGAATCATATTTTTAAATAAATAATTATATTTATGCTCTACTTTTGTATCGAGCACTATTTTTAAAAAATAATAACTAAAATACTAAGGTACTTTGGATTATTTACCTAACCAGTTCCTTCCAAATTTCTATATATTTTCACACACACACACACACACACACACACACACACACACACACACACACACACACATATATATATATATATATATATATATATATATATATATAGATAGATAGATAGATAGATGATACAAAGTGGAAAAGCTTATAAGCGACGCGTTTCACTGACGTCTGTTGGTTTCGACTTCTTCAGGTCGGAAGACAAAACTGTGCATAAGGAAAATGTGTTGAGACTTTTGAGGATAAGAAAGACAATAGATTAAATTTACCTTATCAGATCTGACCCCACTTTTAGTAGTGGTCTTTACGAACCACTAAATCATGCCTAACATCATCGCAGAACTACAACCAACTTGTGAAACACCTATCATCAGTGGTTTTGTTCCGATGCAAGTTCCCATATTAGATCTTATATTATATTGACCTTATGTAGTATTTACCCCAGAGGGAAAGTAAATAAAAAGTCGCTTTACAGTACATAGTCAACATTTGTATGTTTGCGTATAGATAGATGTAGACAGACTGAGATAGATATGAACACACACTGATAGCTCATTACTATAGACAGTTAAAGATTAAAGATATTTTATGTAAAAATATTCATATGCAATATACATACATCAGTATATATTGTCTGCATTTATTCGTAATACCAGCATATAGATGATTTACCTGCATAAAAGACAGGTATATATGCATTAACTAATAATATATACCTAAATAAATCATATTAAAAATATATGTCATTAAATCATGTTTATATGCTTACTAAATATCCAGTTTCTGTTTGAGAAAAAATAGCAGCCTTAAAATTTTCTTCATTGAGAAAGACTCTTAAATTCAAAATTTCATAACTTACTACAAGTATTTTCTGTGAAAAACAGATATTTTTAATGTTTAAATTAAACAAGTACGCTTCTTCTCTGTAGACATCTAGTGGCATATCATGCCGCAGTAACACAGGGTTATGTAATGCTATATCGTGTTTAATAGCAAATACATTTTACAAGATGGACTTTTAAAGTCAAGCTAAAATGGTTTAAATCCAGAATTGTCCTGTTATACTGATTACTAAGCAAGGCAGTAGAGTACCGTCTGTCTGCCATGTTATTTTACTCATAGCAAAATAGAAAAGATAAGATTTGTCTTTTCGAAACACATTAGTGTGAAGTAAATCCATAGAATCAACCATTTGAATTATATCCCATACGCCGATAACCTTTATGCTACATGCACATAAAAAATAAAGTATTAAAATCCGTAAAAAATCAACAGTGCAATTTTTTCATTTTAGATAGTGAAGAAGAATTTTTACATTTTTTATTTGAATTTTTGAGAGGAGCTGTTATTAAGAAAAACTATTTAGAGTTGCATAAAAGAATAAATATAAGCACTCACATAAAAAAGAATGAAAATTCTAAAAAAATTACTATAAATAATTGTTATGAACTGGAGAGATTTTTAATCGTACAGGAAATCAATACTATATTGTTTTTATTTTAGAAGCTGCTTTATATCATTGCTATTTTAAATTTTATATTGGGTTTGATTTATATTTAATTTTCAACAACTTCATCAAAGTCAATAATACTTACAAATATAATTTCGTTGTAATCAAGACGATAACAACAAATCTTTACATCTCGCGTTTTGTGACGCATTTACTATGAAAGAAAAAATAAAAACGTACATTTTCATTGGTTAGTATATGTTAGTATAGCGTTAATTTTTGAAGTTTAGAATCACATCAGTTTTCATTTATTATCACATAACATAATACAAATGGTCTTTCCATTCAAACGTAGTCAGTGTTAGATTTTAATCGTGATTGTAATCAGATAGCGGTTCCATCTCGTTACATTCACCTACTTGCAAATACTCTCGAGAAAGGTAAGAAAAAATGAAAATTCTGAATTCAAAACTTACCAACCTACAATTGGTTAAGCTTGGTGAGTACGGCTACATTCCTGAAGACATGGTCAATAAGGGTTCCTTATATATATATATATATATATATATATATATATATATATATATATATATATATATCGTCTTCTTCCACCCACCCCCAGCTATGGGTAAATAGCCGGACAGACCGGGTTCTATAGACTTGGATGGCAACTGGTCTACTGCAGAAGGAAGTGGCAATCTACTACAGGAAAAAATCTGCCTCGTCATTCATGTATCGAAAGATACATGATCGCCTAAGCGTGTATCACGCATGGCATATAACTGACTGATATATATATATATATATATATATATATATATATATATATTAGCTGGCCACACGTATACGAGGATAAATTTCTACTAGCCAATCCCTATTGCAGACGATCGCTCAGGCACATTTGTATTTGCTCAACACCCACAGAACCCACTTGTGTTTTATACTGCAACGATGCCGAGCAGACGTTAGTTACAGGTTCTGGGAGAGAGCGTGTTATCTAGTGTGATCAACAATTTGAACAAGGCCTGCACGCTCAAGCCCTCGACCAGGATGACTTGTGGCTTCTTGATAGCGTGGCGTGGTATAGTTTTCAGGCTGGGGTCGACCTCAATCAACCGATAACATCAGGAAGTCTCCTTCCAGAAAAATCGACCATGGTGCGATTCGAACCCGCGTCTCATAGTCAGAAACCGAACGTTCTATCTACTCGGCCACGCACCCATATATATTTTTTTTCTTGAGGAAATTGTAACGCAAAATAGAAAAAAGTTATGTGTGATGTGTTTCATCCGTTAGGACTTCATCGGACTGGGTTTGTTGACGTTGTTGGGATTACACAAGCGCATGAACGAGAGACGCTGATAGTTTCAACATTTTTTTAAATAATTTTTTGCAGTCTAGCCAGATTCATCTTTATTCTTTTTCTTTCCATCATCTTTGTTTTTAAATATCCCACATTGTGATAACAGAAAATCAACCAAGAATGGTGAAACGTTGTAAGATACTGAATATAAATTTACTAGTGATTAAAGCACTTTTAGACATTTCCCTTTTAGCAATTTATTAAGATGAAATTTTCTATGATTTTCAAAAGTTAAATTGGAATGGGAAGGTGCAAAACAGATCATGGCATACGTCGTTCCATCTCAACTTAATTTTTGAAAATCATGGAACTGTAAAGTTATTCTAAATAAAAATTTCGATAAATCCATATGGTGCAGTAAAATGATAAAATCCGACTTAAAAACTTGAAAGCTAGGAAATTTCTGAACGAGAATATATAAGATACGTCTTTGAGAACTAAAAGATATTAACATCTCTCTTTTAAGGAGAACTCGAGATGAGAACAATCAGATGATTTGGGAAATTCTATTCAAGAACATATCTGCCTATCAATCAAATTTTGCTCAACCATACTTCTTGGATATAATACTACAAGAAAATCCCCGTGATTTAAAATATGTATGATGGGGAGACAATCCTATAGAGAGGGCTCAACTCTGGAATGATTTCAGCGACTACGTGGGATTCTATCAATTGCTAACGCATGTATATCGACAAGGACTCATTATAAATCGTTATTCAGAACATTTCTACAGACTTATACCGCCAAATATAAATTTCAGAAATTGCAATTGGACATATCCTACATCTCACAGCTAAACTAGAACGATACATGGTACTAAGAAACTAAAATGCTTCAGGCATTGATGGTTTTTCACGAAAATTTGGAATCATGGTATCCCAGATCTACATTTAAGGGCGAAATAAAAGTTTCTTATCTGCTTTTGACAACAAGCAAATTATCTTAAGATTAAGTCATCACA